ATTGATTTTATATCCTGAAACTTTGCTGAAGTTGCTTATCAGTTTCAGGAGTTTTTGGACTGAGGCGATGGGGTCTTCTAGGTATACTATCATGTGGTCTGCAAATAGAGACAATTTGGGTTCCTCCTTTCCTATTTGAATACCCTTTATTTCTTTTTCTTGCCTGATTGCTGTGGCTAGAACTTCCAGTACTATATTGAATAGGAGTGGTGAGAGAGGGCATCCTTGTCTAGTGCCAGATTTCAAAGGGAATGCTTCCAGTTTTTGCCCATTCAGTATGATATTGGCTGTTGGTTTGTCGTAAATAGCTTTTATTACTTTGAGATACGTTCCATCGATACCGAGTTTATTGAGGGTTTTTAGCATAAAGCGGTGTTGAATTTTGTCAAATGCCTTCTCTGAATCAATTGAGATAATCATGTGGTTTTTGTTTTTTGTTCTGTTTATGTGGTGAATTACATTTATAGATTTGCGTATGTTGAACCAGTGCATCCCTGGGATGAATCCTACTTGATCATGATGGATAAGTTTTTCGATGTGCTGTTGCAATCAGCTTGCCAGTATTTTATTGAAGATTTTGTGTCTATGTTCATCATGGATATTGGCCTGAAGTTTTCTTTTCTTGTTGGGTCTCTGCTGGGTTTTGGTATCAGAATGATGTTGGTCTCATAAAATGATTTGGGAAGTATTCCCTCTTTTTGGATTGTTTGAAATAGTTTTAGAAGGAATGGTACCAGCTCCTCATTGTGTGTCTGGTAGAATTCAGCTGTGAACCCATCTGGACCTCGGCTTTTTTTGTGTGGTAGGCTCTTAATTGCTGCCTTGACTTCTGACCTTGTTATTGGTCTATTCATAGTTTTGGCTTCCTCCTAGTTTAGGTTTGGGAGGACACAGGTGACCAGGAATTTATTTATTTCTTCCAGGTTTACTAGTTTATGTGCATAGAGTTGTTTGTAATATTCTCTGATGATGGTTTGAATTTCTGTGGAATCTGTGGTGATTTCCCTGTATCATTTTTTATTGCATCTATTTTGTGGTTCTCTTTTTGCTTTTTTATCAGTCTGGCTAGTGGTATGTCCATTTTGTTGATCTTTTCAAAAAACCAGCTCTTGGATTTATTGATTTTTTGAAGGGTTTTTCGTGTCTCTATCTCCTTCAGTTCAGCTCTGATCTTAGTTATTTCTTGTCTTCCGCTAGGTTTTGAGTTTTTTTGATCTTGCTCCTCCAGCTCTTTCAATTTTGATGATAGGGTGTCAATTTTGAATCTCTCCACTGTTCTCATGTGGGCACTTATTGCTATATATTTTCCTCTGGAGACTGCTTTAAATGTGTCCCAGAGATTCTGGTATGTTGTGTCTTCGTTCTCATTGGTTTTGAAGAACTTCTTTATTTCTGCTTTCATTTCATTGTTTATCCAGTCAACATTCAAGAGCCAGTTGTTCAGTTTCCATGAAGCTGTGCGGTTCTGAGTTCGTTTCTGAGTTCTGAGTTCTAACTTGATTGCACTATGGTCCGAGAGACTGTTTGTTATTATGTCAGTTGTTTTGCATTTGCTGAGGAGTGCTTTACTTCCAATTATGTGGTCAATTTTAGAATAGGTGTGATGTGGTGCTGAGAAGAATGTATGTTCTGTGGATTTGGGGTGGAGAGTTCTATAAATGTCTATCAGGTTTGCTTGTTCTAGGTCTGAGTTCAAGCCCTGGATATCCTTGTTAATTTTCTGTCTGGTTGATCTGTCTGATATTGACAGTGGAGTGTTAAAGTCTCCCACTATTATTATGTGGGAGTCTAAGTCTCTTTGTAAGTCATTAAGAACTTGCCTTATATATCTGGGTCCATATATATTTAGGATCGTTAGCTTTTCTTGTGTATCGATCCTTTAACCATTATGTAATGACCTTCTTTGTCTCTTTGATCTTTGTTGCTTTAAAATCTATTTTATCTGAGATGAGAATTGCAACTCCTGCTTTTTTTTCCTCCATTTGCTTGGTAAATCTTCCTCCATCCTTTAATTTTGAGCCTTTGTGTATCCTTGCATGTGAGATGGATTTTCTGGATACAGCACACCAATGGGTTTTGGCTTTTTATACAATTTGCCAGTCTGTGTCTTTTGATTGGTGCATTTAGCCCATTTACATTAGGGTTAATATTGTTATGTGTGAATTTGATACTGCCATTTTGATGCTAGCTTGCTGTTTTGCCCATTAGTTGATGCAGATTCTTCTTTTTGTTGATGCTCTTTAGCATTTGATATGTTTTTGGAATGGCTGGTACTGGTTGTTCCTTTCTATGTGTAGTGCCTCTTTCAGGAGCTCTCGTAAAGCAGGCCTGGTGGTGTCAAAATCTCTGAGTACTTGCTTGTTTGCAAAGGATTTTATTTTTCCTTCACTTATGAAGCTCAGTTTGGCTGGATATGACATTCTGGGCTGAAAGTTCTTTTCTTTAAGGATGTTGAATATTGGCCCCCACTCTCTTCTGGCTTGTAGAGTTTCTGCCGAGAGATCTGCTGTGAGTCTTATGGGCTTCCCTTTGTGGGCAACCCAACCTTTCTTTCTGGCTACCCTTAGTATTTTCTCCTTCATTTCAACCCTGGTGATTCTGACGATTATGTGCCTTGGGGTTGCTCCTCTTGTGGAATATCTTTGTGGTGTTCTTTGTATTTCCTGGACTTGAATATTGGCCTGCCTTGCTATGTTGGGAAATTTTTCTGGGTAATATCCTGAAGAGTATTTTCCAGCTTGGATTCATTCTCTTCATCACATTCAGGTACACCTATCAAATGTAGGTTAGGTCTCTTCACATAGTCCCACATTTCTTGGAGACTTTGTTCATTCCTTTTTCTGCTTTTTTTCCTCTAATCTTGGTTTCTCCTTTTATTTCATTGAGTTGATCTTTGACCTGTGATATCCTTTCTTTTGCTTGGTCAATTTGACTGTTGAAACTTGTGCATGCTTCACGAAGTTCTCGTATTGTGTTTTTCAGCTCCTTCAATTCATTCATTTTCCTAAGTTGTCCATTCTTGTTATCATTTCCTCGAATCTTTTTTTCAAGGTTCTTAGTTTCTTTGCATTGATTTAGAACATGTTCTTTTAGCTCACAGAAGTTTTTCATTACCCACCTTCTGAAGTCTGATTCCATCATTTCATCATACTCATTCTCCGTCCAGCTTTGTTCCCTTGCTGGTGAGAAGTTTTGGTCCTTTGTAGCAGGCTAGGTGTTTTGGTTTTGGGTGTTTTCCTCCTTTTTGCGCTGGTTTCTTCCCATCTTTGTGGATTTATCCACCTGTCGTCTGAGTAGTTGCTGAGTTTTTGATTGGGTCTCTGAGTGAACGCCCAGATTGTTGATGATGAAGTATTTCTGTTACGTAGTTTTCCTTCTAACAGTCTAGCCCCTCTGCTCTATGACTTCTGAGGTCCACTCCAGGCCCTGCTTGTCTGGGGTACACCTGTAGCAGCTACAGAACAGTGAGGGATGCTACCAGTTCCTTCTTCTGCTATCTTTTTTCCCAGAATGATGCCTACCAAATGTCAGTCTGATCAGTCCTTTTTGAGGTGAGTCTTTGGATATACAGGGGTCAGGGAGCTGCTTGAGGACGCAGTCTGTACTTTATAGGAGCTCAAGTGCTCAGCTGTGAGCTCCGTTGATCATTCAGCCCTGTTAGGCAGGTACGTTTAAGTCTGCTGCAGCAGAACTCATAAATCCCTTTTTTTTCCTCAGATGCTCTGTTTCAGGGAGTTAGGGCTTTCTTTATGAGTAACCATTGCAGTATCCTGCCCAGCTAGGAGGCAGTCTAGTCACTATTTGCCTTCCGAGGCTCTGCCCTGCTGCAGTGCCGTCCGCCCTGTTGCCGTGGGCTCTGCCCTGCTGCTATGGGCTCCGCCTTGTTGCCGTGGGCTCCACCCTGCTGTTGTGAGCTCCGCCCTGTTGGTGGAGTCTCTCTGTTATGGCGGGTTGCCTCGCAATGGCAGGCTGTGTCAGCAATGGGAGTGTACCTCAGTAGGGCAGAATGCCTCAGTAATGGCGGATGCCCCTCCCCCACCGAGCTGCACCATCCTGGGTTCAGCTGTGCCCGCATTGAAACTCTCAACCCCAAGCGTTTTGAATCGCTGTTTTGTTTGTCCCTGTGGGGGTGGGACCCGCCGAGCCTGATCACCTGGCTCCCTGCCTCAGAGCCCTTTTTCTTTTTTTTTTTCAGTTGAACGGTTGACTCTCTCCCAGGTGTTTCAGTCACCTGCTGCTAGGACACCGGGATCTGTGTGATTTCCCGTGCAGTGACCCACTGCACCAGCTCAAACGTCATTTCCCGGGAATCTCCTGGTCTGGCTCACTGTCCAAGTCCCATTTAATCAGATGGATATGCTAATCTGCCCTCCCAAATATCAGATTGCCGGTTTACCAGGGCACCCAGACCAGTGCGTTTTGTGTGGAGTGCTGCTGCACTGTGGCACCAGCTGAAATGGCCGCACCAGCCGAAACAGCTGCGCTGGCTTCCCGTGTCTCTCCTACACCTGGGAATTTCCCCATTCTGTGGGCAACAAAGATCCATCTGGAAATGTGGCTTAGACTCTCCCTCCACATCTTCACTGAGAGCTGCAATCCTTAGTTGCTCCTACCGCTCCATCTTCCGGTATCACCCAACTTTTTCTTCATCAAAAACAAAAATTATTTTTATAACACTGTGAGACTGAATTCTGCTGAATAGAAAATGCTTATGGAGGATGCCAACAAGTTTCCCTGATTTTGAGACGGTGGCACCAGCCTAGATGTTGGTGAGAGAAGAGGGGCCATGCATTTCTCCTGCTGACATGCTTGACTCAAGAACTCACAGCTTATGTTCATTCTCTGAAGGTGGACGCACATGCAGAATGCCAGAGAGGAGAAACAGTTGAAAGTTTGGTACCTTACCAACAGGATTAGTGCTCCCTTTAAAAATAACTTTTCTCAATGGAATCTCAGTACAAAACAGGGAATCAGATTATGACATTGGCAAGAGGACTTACCTTGTTAGAAGGCATGATCCCAAACATGGGGAACATCAAACTAGGTAGCAAAGCTGTTACTGACAGAGGCAAAGCTTCTGTGAGCCAAAATATGGCGACAACAAAGAGTGTGTAGGCACATTCTGCTTCCTGGAAAGAACAAAGGCAAAGCAAAAGATGATATCATGAGGCTAGAGAAGTCAACATTCAGCACCAACATGTTTGCTTAATAAAGCCATGTCACAGAGAAAGTAAGAAGATCCAAGACCTCTGCACTGTTGAGTTGTCCTCTAATAGTCATTTCTTAGAAGTTCTAAGAAGCAAAATTTAATAAACATAAAAAACTAAAGACAGAAATAAACCCCATTCATCACATTTATTTCACATTTCCCTCAAAATAGGTAACATCGTCTAGTCAATTTTCTTGCTCATATTAGTATATATAGATGTTTTTTCTCACCTTTATTTGGCCAATAAAATGCACTCCCCCATACTTCCAGAGTACAGAAATAGCCGAATTGCAGCTTTCCTGTGGGGGCAGGACACCTGCCTTTTGACTGCCTTCCTTGGTGCCTGGTTGGGTGGGACCCAAGCACTCCTACCTTCCTCTCCTTCTAACCAAAAGGAGAAAACCAACACAGGAGAAATCTTTGAAATAGTGTGTCTCAGAGGAAAGACATGACAAGTTGTGTGGCATGGATGAGGCTGAATGCTACTCTTAATAGAATCCATTGCTTTGCTCGATATAAAACTATAGGTTCCTGTTTTAGGGGATTGTTAAGAGGTGGTCAAAATTTATCATTGTGTTTGACTTATACAGACAACTTTGATATGAAATCACTTGGAATGTTCTGAGTATTTAATGAAAGTTAGCAGCTATGAAATGGCGCTGTTTTGCTCTCACACTGCTTACTCTCTGCAAACTCTGAGTTGCATTTGAAAAATTTACAAAAACTGCTATTTAGGTTGAATGAAGTTATTTATTTAAGCTTTTATTTATATCTAGCACTGCTGATCTCTGATTCACCTGCCTCAGGGTGAGTCCATGTGCTTGGGCATCCCTACACTTCCAGTGGGTTTCTAAGACATCTTTAATAAGCCCGGATTAAGTAATACCTTTATCGTGTTATCTATTTAAAGGAGAAAGAATAAAAGTGTTTTGATGTTGACAGTTTTATACAGACAGTTTTATACAGTTTTATATGTCTGCTTCTATCATCTTGAGAAACAATAAAACAACAAAACAAAGCTGAGCCTTGACTGGATCTTTCTAAACAGCTCTAGAGAGAATTGGTGAATACTAGCTTAATCTAAAATTCCAGCGTGGAAGAAATGTTGTACATTTTCTCTTAATGAGAACACATGGATAACCTGAAAGTTTCTTCTTACAACTATGTTTTCCATCCTACTTGTAAGAACCTAGGTTGCAGAGATAAAATGGGCCCCTTTTTATCTTGCTCTCTAGTTACAATCAGCCACTCTTGTTCCTATTTATTCAGTCATTGTATCTCTCAAATCTGCCCCTCTGCCTCCACCCACTTCCTCCACTGCAGGCAAGACTATTCCAATATCAGATCACTTTCCACGAATTTATTTTGCTTTTCGTACTCCTTTGCATAAAGCCAGATTATGGGTCTAGCCACCCTGACAACTATCTGTAACACCAATCCAAAAGGGTCTGCTAAAACATCAAAAAATAAATAGAATACATAGTGTATGCTAGCTGGTTCTGTTCACCATGTATACCCACTGCCATAAGTGTTGAACATTCATGTAACATGGGTCTTTGGCTGGAGAGTCACAGTCCACTGAGATGGCACAACTTTGGTGAGAGAATTAAAAGCAAAATTTCAAGAATCAAATTATTCCCTGGCCCAGACTGCAAGAATCAATGACTTTTAGTTGTTTATTGAAAACAACTGAAGAATCTTCATTTTGCATTGAAATTCACCTTCACTTTGACTATAATGTCTTACCACAATACCTCCTGACATCTATCTCCAAAGAGTCTTCTTTACACACATTCTTGATATTTGAATTTTGATCCTTGCTCCTCAACAAGCTCCAGACCTCTTAATTCATGGTGTTCAGCCAGTTGGTAAACCAGTAGGCCCCCAGATCCTTTATGTGCTAGTTTCTACATACCTGTGTTCACATTCTAGACCTTTGGGCTGTGTTTGATTATTTGGATACAGCAGTCGCAAGCTGATGGCCAAGTCTAGCAAGGCAATTCTAAGTACTTGATTCACAATGTTTTATATGTGTGTGTACTTAATCTGAGTTAGGATTTACACACCAGCAGATTTAATGCTAAAAATAAAGTCTGAATTTCTGGCTTCTCTGAACAAACAGATATTTGGTAATATTGGGATCATATTCTTCCATGGCAACACTTATCCAGGGTCTCCTTTAGAGATTGACTTGTATTTTTTCAGTTCTATACAGTCCTACTACATTACTTCATTCATTCTCTTACCTCCTCGGTTTTTGTCAGCATTTGAGTAACATCTCTGGTAGGGAAAAGGTTGCCTATTTGCTTCCCCTTTCAAATCTTTCTTCCTCATTCAAGAATCAACACTTAGATTGTGCATTTTGACTTCTCCCCTCTCTGCCCCTCTGGGTGGTACATGAACTAGCAGCTTCAGCATGATCTGGGTACTTGTGAGAAATATAGGACGTTAAGCCCTTCCCCAGACACACTGAATCAATCAGCATTTTCAAGCTTACAAGGTGATTCTTATCTAGATTAAAGTTTGAGAAGCACTAGGCAGCACCCTTTTCCAGACCTTTCCTTTCATATTTAAATCTGGGTCTAGAAATTTGCTTCCAAGTAGATTCTTTTTGCCTAAGCTGAATACCTGGATTTATAACCCATTTGGAAATCTTGTCCACCTTTTGATTTGCATATCAGATTTATGTCTCATCACGGAGTTTACCCTGAACACATGTGCATTTTGTATTTTTTCATATGAATCCTAGTGGATTATAATTGTAGCTAGCTAAAGCACCATATCTGCATTGCCCTTGATAGCTGCCTTCCCTGAAGTTGTGGAAATTGTCCCCTTTTTCCACATCTAAAGAAAACCAAAGGTCTGGAAAGGAGGAAGACAGAGTTACTCCCCTCTGAGTGCTCTTTTTTATCCTTATTGTTTTTATTGACAAGTAAAATTGTATGTACTGTATTTATCATGTCCAATATGATGCTTTGAAGTATCTATGCATTGTGGAATGACTAAGTCCAGCTAATTACCACGTGTATTATCTCACATCATTATCATATTTGTGCTGAGAACACTTTATATCCACTCTTTTTAGTATTTTTCAAAAATACAAAATGTTATTAACTACATTAACCATGTTGCATCATAGCCTTCTCAAGCTTATTCCTTCTACCTTTTTTTTTTTGTACTTTAGGTTCTGGGGTACATGTGCAGATCATGCAGGATTGTTGCATTGGTATACACATGTCAATGTGGTTTGCTGCTTCCATCCTCCGGTCACCTACATCTGGCATTTCTCCCCATGTTAACCCTCCCCGACCTCCCCGCCCCTACTATCCCTCCCTTGTCCCCCCACAGCAGACCCCAGTGTGTGATGCTCCCTTCTCTGTGTCCATGTGTTCTTATTGTTCAACACCCACCTATGAGTGATACCATGCAGTGTTTTATTTTCTGTTCTTCTTTCAGTTTGCTGTGAATGATGGTTTCCAGATTCATCCATGTTCCTATGAAGGACACAAACTCATTGTTTTTTATGGGTACATAGTATTATGGTATATATATGCCACATTTTCTTTCTTTCCTTTTTTTTTTTTTTTTTTTTTTTTTGAGATGGAGTTTCACTGTTGTTACCCAGACTGGAGTGCAATAACACGATCTTGGCTCACCGCAATCTCCACCTTCTGGGTTCAAGCAATTCTCCTGCCTCAGCCTCCCGAGTAGCTGGGACTACAGGTGCACACCACCAAGCCCAGATAATTTTTTGTATTTTTAGTAGAGATGGGGTTTCACCTTGTTGACCAGGATGGTCTCGATCTCTTGACCTCATGATCCACCCACCTCAGCCTCCCAAAGTGCTGGGATTATAGGTGTGAGCCACCACGCCTGGCCACCACATTTTCTTTATCCAGTCTATTGTTGATGGACATTTGGGCTGGTTCCAGGTCTTAGCTATTGTAAACAGTGCCGCAATGAACATACGTGTGCATGTGTCTTTATAATAGAATGGTTTATAATCCTTTGGGTATATACCCAGTAATGAGCTTGCTGGATCAAATGGAATTTCTATTTCTAGGTCCTCGAGGAAACACCACACTGTCTTCCACAATGATTGAACTAGTTTACACTCCCACCAACAGTGTAAAAGTGTTCCTATTTCTCTACATCCTCTCCAACATCTATTGTCTCCAGATTTTTTAATGATCGCCATTCTAACTGGCATGAGGTGGTATCTCAATTTGGTTTTGATTTGCATTTCTCTAATAATCAGTTATGATGAGCATTTTTTCATATGTTTGTTGGCCTCATATATGTCTTCTTTTGAAAATGTCTGTTCATATCCTTCTCCCACTTTTGGATGTGTTGGTTTGTTTGTTTGTTGTAAATCTGCTTTAGTTCTTTGTAAATTCTGGATATTAGCCCTTTGTCAGATGGATAGATTGCAAAAAATTTTTCCCATTCTGTTGGTTGCCAGTTCACTCTAATGATTGTTTCTTTTGCTGTACAAGCTCTGGAGTTTAATTAGATCCCATTTGTCTATTTTGGCTTTTATTGCCATGCTTTGGTGTTTTAGTGATGAAGTCCTTGCCCATGCCTATGTCCTGAATGGTTTTGCCTAGGTTTTCTTCTAGGGTTTTTATGGTGTTAGGTCTTACGTTTAAGTCTTTAATCCATCTGGAGTTAATTTTAGTATAAGGTGTCAGGAAGGGGTCCAGTTTCTGCTTTCTGCACATCACCAGCCAGTTTTTCCAACATTGTTTATTAAACAGGGAATCCTTTCCCCATTGCTTGTTTTTGTCAGGTTTGTCAAAGATCAGATGCTTGTAGATGTGTGGCACTGCCACCAAGGCCTCTGTTCTGTTCCATTGGTCTATATCTCTGTTTTAGTACCAGTCCCATGCTGTTTTGATTATTGTAGCCTTGTAGTATAGGTTGAAATCAGGTAGAGTGATGCCTCCGGCTTTGTTCTTTTTGCTTAGCATTGTCTTGGCTATGCAGGCTCTCTTTTGGTTCCGCATGAAGTATAAGGTGTTTTTTCCAGTTGTGTGAAGAAGGTCATTGGTAGCTTGATGGGATAGCATCGAATCTATAAATTACTTTGGGCAGTATGGCCATTTTCACAATATTGAGTCTTCCTAACCATGAGCATGGAATGTTTCTCCATCTGTTTGTGTCCTCTCTTATTTCTTTGAGCAGTGGTTTGTAGTTCTCCTTGAAGAGGTCCTTTACATCCTTTGTTAGTTTTATTCCTAGGTATTTTATTCTCTTTGTAGCAATTGTGAATGGGAGTTCACTCATGATTTGGCTCTCTGCTATTGCTGTATAGAAATGCTTCTGATTTCTGCACATTTATTTTGTATCCTGAGACTGCTTAAGTTGCTTATCAGTTTCAGGAGATTTGTGGCTGAGATTATAGGGTCTTCTAAATATACAAGTATGTCATCTGCAAATAGAGACAATTTGACTTCCTCTTTTCCTAATTGAATATCTTTTATTTTTTTTTTCTTGCCTAATTTCTCTGGCTAGAACTTCCAATACTATATTGAATAGGAGTGGTGAGAGAGGGCATCCGTGTCTAGTGCCTGATTTCAAAGGGAATGCTTCCAGTTTTTGCCCATTCAGTATGATATTAGCTGTAGGTTTGTCATAAATAGCTTTTATTATTTTGAGATATCTTCCTTCGATGCCTAGTTGACTGAGAGTTTTTAGCATAAAGGGCTGTTGAATTTTGTCAAAGGTCTTCTCTGCGTCTATGAGATAATCATGTGCTTTTGTCTTTGGTTCTGTTTATGTGGTTGATTACGTTTATAGACTTGTGTATGTTGAACCAGCCTTGCTTCCCCAGAATGAAGCCTACTTGATTGTGATGGATAAGCTTTTTTAATGTGCTGTTGCAATCGGTTTACCAGTATTTTGTTGAAGATTTTTGCATCTATGTTCATCATGGATATTGGCCTGAAGTTTTCTTTTTTTGTTGAGTCTCTGCTGGGTTTTGGTATCAGGATGATGTTGGTCTCATAAAATGATTTGGAAAGGATTCCCTCTTTTTGGATTCTTTGGAATAGTTTCCAAAGGAATAGTACCAGCTCCTCTTTGTACGTCAGTTAGAATTCAGCTGTGAACCCATCTGCACCTGTTTTTTTTTTTTTTTGGTAGGCTATTAATTGCTGCCTCAACTTCAGCCCTTGTTACTGGTCTATTCAAGATTTCAACTTCTTCCTGGTTTAGGCTTGGGAGTGTGTACGTATCCAGGAATTTATCCATTTCTTCCAGGTTTACTGCTTTATGTGCATGGAGTTTTTTCTAGTAATCTCTGATTGTAGTTTGTATTTCCGTGGAGTCAGTGGTGATATCCCCTTTATCAATTTTTATTGAATCTATTTGATTCTTCTCCCTTTTCTTTTTTATTAATCTGGCTAGCAGTTTGTCTATTTGGTTGATCTTTTCAAAAAAACATCTCCTGGATTTATTGACTTTTGAAGGATTTTTTGTGTCTCTAGTTCCTTCAGTTCTGCTCCGTTCTTAGTATTTCTTATCTTATGCTAGCTTTTGAGTTTTCTTTTATTTTACTCTTCTAGCTCCTTCAATTTTGATGATGGGGTGTCAATTTTGGTCTTTCCTTGCTTCTCTCGTGGGCATTTATTGCTAGAAATTTCCCTTTAAACACTGCTTTAAATGTGTCCCAGAGATTGTGGTACATTGTGTCTTCATTCTCATTGATTTCTAAGAACATCTTTATTTCTGCCTTCATTTGATTGTTTATCCAGTTGACATTCAGGAGCCAGTTGTTCAGTTTCCATGAAGTTGTGGGGCTCTGAGTTTCTTAATTCTGAGTTCTAATTTGATTGTGCTGTGGTCTGAGAGACTGTTTATTATGATTTCTGTTCTTTTGCATTTGCTGAAGAGTGAACTGCTTCCAATTATGTGGTCAGTTTTAGAGTAGGTGCCATGCGGTGCTGAGAAGAATGTATATTCTGTGGATTTGGGGTGGAGATTTCTGTAGATGTCTACTAAGTCTGCTTGGACCAGATCTGAGTTCAAGTCCTGGATATCTTTGTTAATTTTCTGTCTTGTTGATCTGTCTAATATTTACAGTGGGGTGTTAAAGTCTCCCACTATTATTGTGTGGGAGTCTAAGTCTCTTTGTAGGTCATTAAGAACTTGCTTTATGTACCTGGGTGCTCCTGTGTTGGGTGCATATATATTTAGGATCGTTAGTTCTTCTTGATGCATTGATCCTTTCACCATTATGTAATGCCCTTCTTTGTCTCTTTTGATC